GGGACAAAATGGTATAATGCATTCTCTCACTTCGCCACCACTCAACTGAATAAAGAATCTGTAATTGCAATTTATTGTAAAATTTCCAAGATTTTACATCTAAAAACTTCTATAAGTAAAACCTCACCAAACCTTTGTTACTCAAAGTAATTAAAACACTTTTCTTAAAATTTCTTCGAAATAATACGCCTAGTTAAATTACCCTGGTTATGGTAATTAGTATTTATAACTATAATTAGATCGTCTCATTATGCTAAGTTACAGTAAAATTCATTATTTAGGGAGACAAAATTAATTTATCAAATTTTTTTTTTTAAATTTTAAATTGAAATGACAAATTCTTTTGAAAGTAACGTGTAAATTAATTCATTATTCCAAGGTAAAGTTAATAAAGAGGGTTAATAGCAACTAAATGAATGCATAGGTGTTAAATTTAGAATGTATAAGTGTTAGCTTATTGTAATACAACATAAGTACCGTTAAAATTATTTAGTCTCAAGGCCGATTTTTCGAAAAAACTTTAACCTGACAAAATGTAAAAGTCAAACGATTGTACCGTTTTGTTGACACAACTGTAATTTTTAATTTATTAATATTTTGCATTTAATCATATGAATAACTTTTATCTGACGATTTAAAAGTCGGCCCTAAAAGTTGTTATTATTTTGCAGCAATGCAAATATTGCGTAATAGCATGCACAAAATTGAGTCCTATTTATTGCTGCGTTTTAGGAAATACTCGTAGTTTCTTTAATATTTCCTTTTTTTTATTCTAAATTGTAAAAATAACAAAAAAGCCGTTAAAAATGTCAAAGAAGTGAACATTTGGCTTTTCATGTTTTATCTTTGTTGAATTTCGTTTTCCACGGATACAAATGGTGTAATTCTAAATCCTAATCCCAGGCGACGTTCTTGTGTACGCGTCCCGATTTCTCTACTCAATGTTTCCACGAATTATTTGCTGAAACAATAGCACGCTTCATGTTTGTGTCGTAAACCAATTTACGTGTACTCTTAAAACGTTTAAAATTCATTACTTATCAACTTTATTACCAAACGATAAAGTCGAAAATATCGTGATAAGATCTCAAAGCGACACATTTTAAGTTTGTCGTCTTGTAAACATTGACGAAATGTCACTCGCGGTGCCTTTGAGATTAAATTCTGCTTTGATAATTGCTATTTAACGTGCGTCTAGATTTGTGATTACGGCCAAGTTTACGAGGCCTCTTCCTTAATGAGTTTTCTTATTGTAACTGTGGATTATACTTTGCGTCACTATAAGGACACGGATATTCATTAAGCAATTTGCTTAGTTTCGCCTGATAGTACACTATCATGTATGACTAAAAAACTATTAGAAAAATACCTGCATAGATTTAAGTGCCCAATCCGAAGAATTCATGTTAGGAATGCAGTATTATGTTTTGCTCTTATTTGGCACACCTAAAATTCATATTATTTTTTCATATCATTCATTTCTTTATGACAAACTATCAAAAGTCCACTGCTAACCATTGGCCTTTCCCATATATCGACTCATAGAGGAGGTTTGTATATAGTTATCACGCTTAGCAGGCGTGTTGGTAACCGCAGTTTTTTTATTCGGAGTTCTTATCAAGAAGACGCTGCTTCCCATCTTCCGTTTCATTTCCCACTATCGACCATTGCAACACCCATGGGACGATATGGGTTAGAGAATACCGTTACGCCGCAATTACACGGCACAATACAGTACCGTATTATTTTACAATATGTAATTGATTCAGTGTTCAACAGTAAAAAATAATAATCAATGGTCACGACGCAATGTCACGCGAACTTTAAACAGCGAGGTTATAGAGTGGCTTGGCCGTACTTGGTCAAACAAAGACGTGAATAATAGGGTAAACATGAGCCATCGGGCGATATCGTGCCCGCGTGGCCCCATGGCAAATATTGACGTTCAGACTTGGCGTGCACGAATGTTACCCTTTGATTGATTGAACATTGTGGTCACCTTAGTCTTTGAGCGACTGCTGCGCGTTACACATTTGACTCAGTGAATAAAGCAACAGAACAAATAAACATTGGGTCAATGAATCAACGAATGTTTGATATCGTAGCGATTTCTTGTAAAGTTGATGGAGCCTCGTCATACAGGTAAGTGAAGTATAGAGCTACCCCCTACTAGAAGAACTGACGACATAGTAAGAGATTAATGCGATAAATGTAGGTGGCTCAGGACTGTGCTTGGTGGCACTTCTTAAGGGCCGCCTATGTTCAGTGTCATGGCTGTAGTTCTAATGAGTAGTTCAGACGGAAGAGAACCACACCAACTGTATGCAATCGTAATGGCAAAATTAGTATATCAAAATAAATAAATGGCAGCAATTTGCTGTTATTGTCAAGGAAATAAAAAAGGATCCAGATAATTCACCGCAGGAAATCAATCCCAGAGCAGGGTTACTCTACAGCTGAGTTATGACTGCAGTTCGAATTGGTTAGCTTAGACGAGGGAGGATCAGATAGTATACCATCGTAAAATAGCAGCAATATGCTGCCATTTATGAGGAAAGAAAGAATTATCATGCAGGTACGTTCAAAACTGAGCATGTAATTGAGCCGCTAGCACTTGGGTTTTGAAGGTGGAAAATCCCGGTAAATAAGTACTATTAACCTAGGTACATCTATCATATATTATATATATATATATATATATATATATATATATATATATATATATATATATATCTTTAATAATACTATTAATTATCTTATAATTATTTGATGGATGATTTGCTTGTTGAGAAACAAGCTAAAATACTGAGTTCGAAGGAATGGTCACCCCTGTCCAACAATCCATACATTTCAAATACATGGGCTACAAAACGTTATCTTGTAAAACTTATGTTTGCTTACAAGGGTACACATATCCAAATCGGATTTGCACCGTACACACAAGAGGACAAAGGAGAGATAGCAAAACAAAGTCCCGTCTACAATATTCAATTTATTTTAAAGCAGTCTGCTATATAACTTGACCATAGGCGCATTGCTGCACCTGTTTTATATATACTATTAATTGAAACAAGTGTTCCGATAGTGATGTGAATCTCAAGATGATTTGTCGGCTTTGGCGCCTTGAGATACTATCGTCGTTGACTGTCTGCTAGCTCAAGCTGCCGCCTAAATCTCCCAAAAACTCCTTTTCTCAACGTGATGCATCAACATATTATGAAGGAGTTGTCACATTGAAGCGTTTTTGGGAAATTATTACAATTACAATTTACAATGGAAGGGAGGTTTTTAAAAATATTATTTAAAAGGTCAATTCCTTATTGAAGATGGTTATGTCATGCCATCTATCGAAGTTTATGTGAATTATTGTTCATCATCAAAAACGCAGACTATCTATTATTATTAACGTTATAAGTTTACATCTAAATTTAAAAAAAAAATAACTGTAAGTAATACTTTTCATCGATATTTTTTCATTGCGTTGCAAGTTTATTTTATTTGTTAAAATAATATTTAACAAATAAATAAACTTTTTAAAATAAGCAAAAGACTTCGAAAAACTAAAATTAATAAAATAAGTTCCACATAATATAATTGTTTCTGAAGTTCGCGCTTTCATTTTTAAATACACTATGTCTTAGTACTTTCCAAATAGTTACAATAAAAACTTCATACCCTATTTTCCACTTATGGAAAAATGGGTCGGAAGTTTTCTTTAAATTTAAACGGGACCACCCATTACGTAACCTATTTAATGAAAAGGAATCATTAATATCGGTAAGTACACAATTCTTAAAGATATCGCGTAACATACATAAAAAATTTCGATTTTAAATTTTTTATTTAAAAAAAAAGAAATATTTTCCTTTGATCGTACAAAGATTATCTAGAGATGAATACGGTAACGCTACCGCGTTATCATCGATATCGAAATTTGTGTTCGATATATGAATTACAACCATCATAACACGGAGCGAACGTTTAAACTGTCGATATACACGATATCTAGTGATACGCGCTTTGTCGCTGCCGCCGGCAAATCAGAGTCATAAAACAACAAACGTAATTTTGCCAGCGATACGCGCTGTCGGGCCCGCGATAAGATATGTCAAGCCGAAATCTGAAGCCGTGGGATTTTATGAAGCCCAGTGTTATTGAAATTTGTGCAGCTAAAGCGGTGACAAGAGGCTTATGGCGATCTAATAAATTTTCGCCATTTTTCGTCCATTTTGTAGGCTCTAAATCATATTTTTTTAATTATAGTAAAAATCAGTATTTACTACTGCTACTACTGATAAAAAAATAGCAGCATAATGCTGCTGTGTTTCGTATATTTGGGGACGGAAATCGGAGACGCTTTTTCATAGTAATTTTTATTGCAATTCATTTTTAATAGATGTTTGTGAAGGCATCTATGGTCCACAGCATGTATTTTGTTGCAGGTTGGTCAATTCTAAGATAAGCTTTTTGGTATTGTGTTAAAAATTATTACTATTGGTTACAAGATAATTATAAAGTACATATATATAAATATATAACTAACTTCATCAATACAAGATAATGCGGCGTAAGAGAATCGATCATCCCATTTTGTCCCACGGGTGTCGTAAGAGGCTACATTGGGGAATGCCGGAGATACCTCATGGTTTTCGATACAGGGCAGTATACCATCTTGTTTACGCCAGACGTAAAATACCTAGACTGATGATAGGGAGCACTGTCGAAGGCATGAGACGTCTAGTTTTGTGATCCGCCTATGTAGAATGACGTTCAAGGCACGTTGAAGGCACGTTTAAGGCACATCCTCCCAACAACGGTAGAAGCCTAGGTCCAGCAGTGGTCTTTTAAGGTGTGATGAAAAAGATGAAGATATAATAACAGTCTTCCCCAAACAATGCTATAAAACACGGCCCTGAGCCACCTACATTCAGCGACTTCACGCATGTCTTACCAGGTCGTCTTGTGTTACATAAACTTTTATTAAAATATAAGATTCTCACCTCTAATGGGATAGGAGTCATGACTCTGGGGTGGTGGTGGCGACGCAAGCCTTGCTTCTGGACGAGCGACAGTAGAGCCCCATAGTGACTGGCAGATACCGTTGCGAAGCGCTTCGCTAGCAGATACGCCTAAAACAAAATAAAAAATTTCGGGTAAACAATAAATCAATATACAAATTAAAATATGATTATTTTATGTCTGTTTTCTCTTATTTATTTATATCTTTAGTGTTTATTTTGCAGTTTTGATACAAAAAAAAATAAAGAAATTGATACATTCATTTTAGTTTCTGTAAGTATCAAAACTGTTGAGTGTAAGTTGCTGAATAAATGCCTGTCTGTCTATTGTATATTGTATAAAAATATATGTAACACCAAACATACTGTTGTGACATTTAATTATTTACACTTCGTGAAACTTAAGCTAGAATCATTAACCCCTAATAGTCCACTACTGCATTAGGGCTTAAATGTGACAACTGTACACAGACCTGTCAATTCCCTGCTCCCATGTAAACTAGCGAACTTCATATTATGCTTTTTTACAGACTACATTTTTGAGAGTGCGCGAAGGAATTGCATGACCTAATTCCTCTTCTCCATTCCATTATCGGACCACCAGACGATCGGCTTGATCGGACGACCCTTTGTTGTCGACTTACCACGCATCCGTGCTAAACGGTTTGCTTTGTCGTTCATAATGTGTACAACAAAAGAGTGGAATAATTTGGGTATAATGTGGGTCAAGGCAAGAGTCAGGCTTTTGTTAAGCTAAGTGCTAAGCAGTGCGCTTTACCATCACCACTTACCATCAGGTTGGCTGGTAGTCAAGCACTGGCTTATAATAGTAAAAAAATGTGCTCTTGATATTTTTATATACCTCGATATAACATATATATTTTATTTAAGATAACTACTTTAAAAATTTTGAATATCTACCTGTGCTGTGAGACCTTGCTTCTTGCCAAATTTTATACTCGTAATTCTGGGTCAACGAGAAGTACCGTATAGGTTTTGATGAGTGAGTTTACGAGTCTCAAAATATGTGACTGTGACTGTGATGTGATGAATTCAGATATCTCTGTTTGCACTATACTCATCTCATCATCATCAAAATGACCTGCGCTGTATTAAGCTTCCAACTATTCCAAAGTTACTGCGAACTGTCAGCTACGAGAATATCATTATAAGTACTTTGGATTTTGTTTAATTAAACATAAGCTACATAATATTATATAGGTATTCTACACAAAAACTAAACCGTGATATATGAATATGTAAATCTATACTTATAAATAAAATTGAGCTGTGTATATCTGTAATAATGAAATAACTGTCTTCTATTTAGGCTCAGGGGGTTATTTGTATACTATTGTGACATAAATAACCGTTTAAAAAATTCTATAAAAAATTAAAGATTTTTTTGAAAAAAAAACGAAATATTTATTAAATCAATGGTCTATGACATCCAGGTAAAGCCGGGGTTGATCGCTAGTTTTAAAATAAAACTTATTTACGTTTTATTGTACGCGTTGATTTTAGAAATACTGTAATCATGAGTAGCACTCTATCTTGTTAGGATTACTGGGTTGATACCCTTACTGGTCAATTAAGTTTTATGCGCAAATTGGTCAAGTGTAAAATAATTGAAATGAGGACATTTGATTGAGTATGGAATAAAGTGAAATGAGAATACGCAATTAATTCAAAAGCAGTTAAATAACTTCACTACTAGTGGCCGACTGCTGATTGCAATTGAGATATTCAACAAAGACTGCTTCGTGTTGAGTTAAAATTATACGTATCATACGAATTATCCAAAGATAATTAACTGACAATTGTTTGCGAAATGTATGATGATTTTAAATTATTTATCTATCAAATAGGACTGAGTATATACATTATGCTGATGGCTTATTATGAGGAGTGTAAGATTTGGTATATTTTAAGTTTATATAGAGAAGGAGTGCAGAAAGCGAATATTTATATAAATATTATGTATAAATTAAATTAAACATTCATTATTTAACGTTTATACTGTCAATGTCAAAGACATAATCTGTCGTTTGTTTACCTTCCTACTGCCAGTGTCAAACGCATAATAGTCTGTGGTCAAATAGTCGCGCATAATAGAGAGAGAGTTTTGGCGGGAACTTGACCGGCGGTGGTTTGCTGCTCCTGTATTATTGTTTAAATAATGGTTTGAAGTGGACTTTGATATGTAAAAGTGGTGCGATTTTGTGTATTAAGTATCTGCGCATGTGAACTATTATTGGAAACTTTGAAACAAGTGCTCTGATAGTGATGTGATTCTCAAAATAAGGTGCCTGTCTGCTTAGGCGCCTTGAGATACCATTGCCAACCGTCAGCTGTTTGCTGGCTCAAGTTACCGTCAAAATCTCCCAAGGGCTGCACAATGTGACGCATCAACATATTGTGAAGCAGTATACTATGAAGAATAATTATATATTGTAACTTCAGGCTCAGAAGGGCTAGATCCCAGAGCCGTAAAGCCAGTTATCAAGAAGAAGACAAGAAGCATAATAGAGAGGTTTTTGGCGGGAACTTGACCGACGACGGATATCTGCTCCTATATTATTGTTTAAATAATGGTTTGAAGTGGATTTTGATACGTAAAAGTGGTGCGATTTTGTGTATTAAATGTCTACGCATATGAACTATTAGTGGAAACGGTGAAAAGAGTGCTCTGATGGTGATGTGATTCTCAAGATAAGGTGTCTGTCTGCATAGGCGCCTTCAGATACCATCGCCAACTGTCAGCTGTCTGCTGGCTCAAGTTGCCGTCAAAATCTCCCAAGGGCTGCCCAATGTGACGCATCAACATATTGTGAAGCAGTGAAGGATAATTATACATTGTAACTTCAGGCTTTTTACGTGGTAGAGCCGTGCTGAAGCTATATTAGTAGTATAGTTGTAGCACGAATGAGTCGGCTCGACCGGGGAAGGACCACGCTCTCACAGAATACCAGCGTAAAATAGCAGCTTAACGCTGCTGTTTCGTATGGTGAGTGTAGAGAACAGGAGACCCTTTTACTGGAAAAGAGGTATTCCATCTTAGTCCTCAAGGATGACAACGCATCTGTATTTTGATTTGCAAACGAGGATAGATGTAGATGTCTATGGACTACAGCAACCACTTACCATCAGGTGGACTGTGTGCTCGTTTGTCATCCTATCCTATAAAAAAAAAGGCTCAGAAGGGTTAGAACCCAGCGCCGTAAAGCCAGTTATTAAGAAAGAAGAAAGCATAATAGACTTTGTCGCCAAAGAATTTTGAAATGTTGCGAACAAATAATTACTAACCGATTAATTGAATGAGCCTAAATTCAAATGTTCCTTTTTCAAAAGTCTTTGGAGTTGGGGATTGTATGTCAAGGGAAAAAGAGTATAACTCATAATTTGTAAATAAGATTAGATTTACATTTTGTATATTAGAGATTAGAGCTTGCTTAAAATACAAACTTACATATTTAATGAATTATAGTCAAATTCCGACCACTGGACGACCACTAGTATAGTAGAAGACATTAAAGTAAAACGCAGAAAGTAGGAAACAAACAAATAAACCTAGCTTAACTAGCTTAATTTGATTTTTGTATTATAATATCTTGTGTAGACAATATGTTAGCAAACAAATCTCATGTTAAGCAAGGTAACATTATTACTTACAGTATCTACAATAAACAGCTCATACAGAACTAACCTGTTACATATGTATCTTGAGTCATTTTACTCCATCAAAACATTACCTTATATTTCCAGAAACAAACAAACAAAATTTAGATCAATCAACTGAGTGACTCACACTTTAAATAACTGTTCTAAATAAAGTTAACAGATCCACTAGAACTGTTAAAGATTCACCGCCTGTTCAAAAAATTTGTCGATATCACGTTATCGCGGTAGGTGTTTGGGTAATCACAGTCACAGATACAAGATAACTTGCTGATAATTACATTTATCGCTTGTAATTACATGTATTACCATGTATTTGATTGAACGCTGTTCAAATTTTGTTACAATAATGGAAAATATTTGATTAATTCTTCATATATTGACAAAACTAATCATATAAACAATAAAGTTATCGATGTCTGAAAACTAAAGAACTGACGGCTCTCAGTTCCTAACTATTTAGTCAAACCATAAATAGAAGAAATAGTTGAAACAACCATTTTGCTATTTGTTAGATAATGTATAGATATAAAAAAAATTATCTTTAATGGAAAATGTGAGCATAAAAAATTCTCAATACTTTGCATCTCTGAAATTTTATATTTATTTAAAACGACACAATCGTATTAAAATTGTTTATAATGAAGTTTCTTATTGCTAAGAGTCGAAATATGCATTCCCAATACGTTAAACATTTGCGAGTTAGAAACAAAGATATTATAAATAAAAGTTTTAAATATAATATCTTTTGTTAGAAATTATTTATAAACAATTAAAATTAATTTGGGAAAGATAATTTTGATCCAGGGTCAAATGAATAACAAAAGAAATAAATTATTCCATATTCAAAATTCAAGTTCAATGGTTTTTTAAATCGTACATCCAGCCAAACGGATATTTTATAACAGGATAAGGCCGATAAGAGGCAAGGACAATCTGTGCATCCCGAAGGAAGAGAGCGATTCGGTGGCGCCAGACTCCCGACGCCCGGCCAGTGTCAGGCGTAATGTTGATATATGCGCCCGCGCTTAATCTCAACAGATTTCCTTCGCTTATTGATGCTGTTTGATTATTAAATTATGGGCAATATTAACTTCATGAAATTTCTGTCGATAAAATCCTTCGTCCAGTTTTTTTTTTATTAACATTACATCGATATTACTTACTTATGTTCTTAAGTAAAAATTTTTTCAAATTCAAGATTGTAGTTTTAGATTATTATTTTAAAATTTTTAAAAGTGATATTCTATTTGAATTTATATTAATTCTTTCATTTTCATTTGTTGATAAGATTATTTGAGAAAATACAAACAAATTGAGCAATTTATGTTATAATCACCACTACAATAGGTATTTGTATTTGAGAAATTAGAGATTTCAATGTTTTCGATTAGGGACGTTCTTCGTTTAAAAATGTGCTCATTTGAGAACCA